AAAAAAATAGCATTAAACAATATTAAGAAATAATAAAACACTTATTTTTTTTATTCTAATATAAATGGCTTTTCAAATGGCTTTTTTCCATTGAAATAGATATGATAAAATAAATTATATTTATACTATTTAAAATGTTATTTTATCATTTTAGCTTTTCAAAATAGCATTTTGGAGTGGAGATTAGATTGTCAAATGACACGTTTCGTTTATGCTGTTTATCTTTTCTCCTTCGTCTGTGACCAGAACAAGCTACCTTGAAAACAGAGAAGAGAGACAGCCTTCGGTGCAGCAGAGTAGCGTTCATCTCCACTCGCTCCACCGCTAATGGCCACGTTTTCTTGTTCAGCTAGGCCTACTAAGCTATATGCTGCTCTTCCTCTTGCCCCAGCCAAACATGGCACTTCTCATCATTCTATAATGCTCACATTTCCCTCATCTTCAAAACCCAAAAACAATAATTCTCGCGTAGGCATAGACTTATTATCAAGCTCCAACAACAACCCTGATGATTATTGGGGATATTGGAGGACCAACGTTTCCTTCTTTCAATTTTTTTCAGCCAAAGGTAAAGATGTAAAGAGCCTTAAACAGCAACTTCTTGAGGCAATAGCGCCTCTTGATCGGGGTGCTGTGGCTACCCCTCAGGACCAACAACGCGTTGATGAGGTAATTTAACTTGCTACTTCCACTTCCATGACTGTTAATATTGGAGTAGTATTCATGCTAAACATGGAGCAACATTTTAAGAAGAATCAAGCATAAATAAATACCTGAATTGATATAAAAAAGCATCAAGAAATGAACTCTTCGGTGTTTTTGATGATTTTTTCGAGGAAATTGCATAGGATATGTTATGGCTAAAGTAGATGTAATCATAACACCTATAATATATGGGTTTAAATGATAATCATAATAATAATTAAGGAAAGCCTCTATAATTCAGGTGGGGTTTGCATGGTTTAGCCCAGCATTTGATTTGAGGTTTAGGATTGTCATCAGTTGGTTGGATCATGTGTCCGAAACAGTAGTTTGAGGAGTTCTCTTCATAGCTCATTGGCATTTTATTGTGTGTTTCTGTATTAATATTTTTTCTCTTCTTTGATCAGATTGCTCAGGAACTTGAGGCTGTGAATGATATAAAGGAGCCATTCAAGTCAAATCTTCTGAATGGGAAATGGGAACTTTTATATACAACATCTCAATCAATTCTTAAAACAAAGGTTCGATTTGTGTTTTGTCAACTTAGTCTCTTAGTTGTTTGACTACACAGTTGTGCAAGTTCGTATAATTTCTAAACTATGTATTAATTGCTCTGCACTCTAATGTAATTCCCTGTTACTGAGGTCATAGGTGCTCCTGAGCACTGTATGGTTACATGATATATGCATCTCTGTGTCAAACTTGTGTTGTTGCCTTGTTAGTGGGAAGTGTTGTTAATAACTTTGATGGTCAAATGCTAAGGTTACAAGATTAATTTCATGGGGTCTCTAGGAGTGTAGTTGTCAGGTTTGGCGCCCAGTTTTTCGAACTTGGTATTATATAGCTTATTTTCCAGTGAACTTGCTGGTTTATACATGCAACTTTAGCTTAGAAATTAACAGCAAACGGATTGAAGTCTTGTTTCTCTCTTTATGCTTAATCCTGGAGATCAACATGCATGGTGATGGCGTGGAGAGATTTTCTAGTGTAAGAAACAGTATCAAGCAATTTATTCACCATAAGAGAGATGCAATTCTTCTGTATTATGGTTTGCAGACGACAAAATCATGGTGCTCCGTTAGATACACAAAACAGCAGAATAAAAAGCTGCTGTAATTGTTATTTGAGACTGGAGATGTTATCCTAAGGAGATTCAAGAGCAACTAAAAAATTCCATCAGCTGAAGTGCATATTGAAATGAGGGCAAGCTGACTGTGTTACATAGTCTCTTATCTTATAGTCAATGGCAAGTTTGTCTGTGGTCAGTGGTTGGATTTGGAAAGGCAAAGAACACAAAAAACTGGAATAAAAAATTAATATTTTGGTTTTTTTTTCTTGTTTTGCACACTCCAATGGAGAAGACAAACAAAATGTTAAAATACCTCTTCTCTCCCACAAATGCTATTTCTACATATCTCTTTAAAGAGCCAAAACCAACAAAGTGGGACCACTAAAAAAATAGACCAATTAAATGTAGACATGTGG